ATTGGGGGGGGGGGGGGGCACATGCCCCCCATGCATACCCCTGGGGAAGGCATAGCAGTGGGGAGCCGCCCTTCTGACCCACCCACACCCCCCAGACAAGCATCCCACAGCTCCACCCTGCTCCAAGGGTCACATTCACTGCCCTGGCTGGGGGGGGGCCGCCCCCCCCCCCCCCCCCCCCTCAAATCATTGAAGTCACCAGTGATGTTTGAGAGCTAAAGAATTCAATTTTGACCATTTGGCTTTGACAGTATTGTCACCATCCTCTAGAGATTTGGATATTCGTAGGCCACCATTTATATGGTCCAGGTTACCATATATTTTAGTTCCTGGAATAAGCAGCTGGCATAACAGTAAGCACCCACCGATTTTTCCCTCCATCTGAAAAAAAAAAAACAACTATTTAAGAATTCAGGGCTGCCACCTCCAAGAAAGAATTAAATGGAAGTACTCTACAGAGGGAAGACCAATATGGCTTGCAGCACAGACTTGTAGTCCAAACAATGCTATGGGATCATTAAAAGGTTCATAGGGGGGGTAACCAAATCCTCAATATAACAACATCCCAGCTAAAAGATTCCCCATGCTGCAGATTCTGTGGCATTCAGAATGTATAACATTAATATGCATGTACCCGAGATACCAGTGCACCACTATATATGAAGAAATCATCTTCTAGTTTTAAAAGGGAAATATAAAGTTGCAATACACAATTCACTTCATCAGCCAGTATTGGGAGTGTAATACTTGTTTAACTGGGCATTTTCTGAGAGATCAAAGTATAAAGAAACAATAAATAAATAAATAAATAAAACAATGAGGGCAAGTGTTGACAGCACTTATTATAGGATCAAAATAATATTAATAATGTTATTCCAGTAACTATCATTTGTTATTTTCACTGATCATTTTGTAATATTTTCCCTGCTCTCCCAGGTTTACAGATTTGATTGGTCAAGGCCTTAAATTATGCAGAAAACTTCCAAGAGGAACAAGCAGTCGGTTGTTTCTTGTGAGGAACCAACAATCCTTCCTCCCGACAAGAGAAAGAGAGAGAGTCAACAGAACTTTGTAGATGTTTTGCCTCCAGAAGTCAGTTGTAAAATTTTCGGTAAACTCGACATTCAGAGTTTATGTAGTGCAGCAATGACATGCAAGACCTGGAATCATGCTATTGAAAACAGTGACAATTTGTGGAAAAATCACTGTTTAATTGTAAGAGCTGTCTGTCAGCGAGAGATTGATTGTGATCGAGGAAATGGATATTCATGGAAGGTAAATTTAAGCATTAACATTAGCTTTGGGGAAACTGAAGAGTTTTAGGAATGGGTAACAGAACATAGGGAATTACATGCAGATCAGTATTTCCAATCCATCCATAGTCAATAGCAATCAAAAAGTTGTCATCTAGTAGCTATTTTTTGCCCATGAGCAGGTCTAATTCTGCAAACTGATAATCACCAAAACACTTATAAAACATATCTCGGAGATAAAATGAACTATCCCTTAATCCCCAAGAAGAGATCATTCAAGAGAACGAATGTAACACTTTTGAGATGGACACAATTACTGACTGACACATTTCCCATAATTTCACTTCAGTGGAGTAAACCTGCCTGGATATTTTGGGAATCCTGAAGTCTGCTGGAATAGAGAACACTTCCATGTATACAGCTCCTTACCCAGGTATGGACAGTAGATGGGAAACAATAGCTACAGCTGCTCCCCAGGAGGATCTGAACATGCTGAGCAAGTTCAGAGGAGATCAGAAAGAGGATGGATTTAGACACCACCTTCAACCAGGATAGGACAGAAAGAACAGAGTGGATTTTAAGGTCTCTGTCTGATTAAAGTCAACTGGCTATTGCAACTCAGCGAGCAAAGCAGCTTCAGAGCCATCTCCTTTCAGAAGAATTGTTCTAATGGATCAGTACGAGACTAGGGTTGACATAGAAACAGGACTTTGAGCAAAGTGTGCTCATTCTGTTCTCACAGATACAGAAACAAAACATATCACCTCCTTGTAATTGGCCCTATTAATAAAGCAGATGAAATCCAGGTCTCTCTCTCTTTCATGACTAAAGCTAGTAAAATGGCAGCCCAACCCAGGGCAACACTGTCCCAGTACAATGCAAGTACTGCACATGTGCAGAACTGCACTATACTGGTTATACACTTTCCAGTTTGGGAGAGCGAATATTTAGAGATCCATTTAACTATAGCACTGTCTAGCACAACAGCAGAGTGGGATGCATTTTGAAGAGAGAAAAACAAAACAAACCTTTAAACCATGCAAAAATCTCAATTTTTCAGATTTCTTCAGGACTTCAAGACAGCCATTTTCAAACCAGGCCATTTGGTAGGTTTATGCATAACCATTTCCCAGCCATTTCCAGAGCACTGTTTTCCACCTCTCTCTAGGTGGTGGTAACAAGCTGCATCTGGCACAACAGGTCAGAACTTATTGCGGAAGATAATAGGGTGGATATATAGAAGAACCTGACCACCTGCTTGAAGAACATCTATAAGAAGAGGTCATTCAAAGTCCCCAAATAAATCCAAACCCAGGATATTTTTATTTCAGGAAAAATTGAAAATTAGAAAAACTTAAAGAGGTAGGAGTTCAGGCTCCCCCTACAATGTAAGGCTCCTTGTCCCACACTAATCCCCTTGCCTTAAGATTC